GTTCTAGGTCAACCTGGTTTGTTCGACTTTCAAGAAATTCGAGTTCTAGTGAGTTTGAGAACCAAGGTACCACTGTATTTGCCTTTTTCAGAAGGACGAGCACACTGCAATGCTTCTTTTTGAATATTCCATCCATCTCTTCTTAGAGGAAGACATACACATGCAAGTGAGATGGAAGATTAGGGTCTGGTGCCCCCTGCAGCACTTTTCAATGGCTTAAGGGCCTTGCTCAATGGCCCAATGGTGATTTGATAACTCCACAGGCAGCGGGATTTAAACTGGCAACCTTCTGGTCTCAGATACTGAGGTCTAACCCACAGTCACAGACCTCCCCCCCCCCCCATGTCCTCTCTGTACAGGGTAACCTTTCAGAGACTGAAGCTGGAAGTTCGCCCAGAAACAGGCTGTTTACCACAGAGTTTTTGGGAATATATACAATATATGATATATTCCACTGCACATATTGCTGATTGTTAAGCATTTTATACACTACAGTAACTGTCACAACCAGAGTCACCACACAAGGCATGCTGATTGTGATCATCGCACCATCCCTTTAAGAAGGACCCTTAGACGTCGAACGCTGCCGTACCAAATATCTGCACGTTATCCATTAATATTAACCTAAATGACGGCCGTATGTAGCCTTAGAGTTGACGTACAAGCCCCAAGTTAGTGATCGTGGATATATATTTTTTTTGGAAAAGGAACACAAATCAGTGATGAAGACTGACAGTTTGAGAAGAAGGACAGCTCACACTCTCCGATCGTCTAGGAGGATTTTTCCAAGTGAGATAATGAATTGTTACTTAAAATATAAGAGCCATAATTTCCTCAGTTCCATTTCACTTCAGCTCAGTGAACATGTTTGCATTTTATAGTCACTGGGCTTTGGTGTTTGGCATCATTACCTTTAATGTCCTCTTTTTGTGGAACCACTTTAATGAGGGTTTAAATCTCAGTGTCAATGAGGTCCGTTATCCTGAGGCTGATATTCCCCAATTCGAACAGAGCAGGACCATGTTATTCCTTGGCAAACGTGTGTCAAAATAATGTATTTTACCTGGTATTTTTCTGCCGTGCAAATAAAATGGAGGCTGCTGTGCGAGAGGAGAGCAGCAACGGGATTATTACGTAACTGTATTATGCAAATTAATTATCTGTAACTGTCAAAGCATTTTTCACGAGGGGTCTGGACACTTCTTGATTTATCTGAAAGAGAGATTGATGTTACACGGGGGAGAAGCTGATCCTCTGGTTTGACTTGCTGCTCGGGACCTGAGACGTCTGAAGAAAACAAGAGGAAGGCAGGCAGTTAGGGGCTGGAGGTTAATCTGACTCTCAGCTGTTATCGAGAGTGACGCTGATGCCGAGAGACAAGCTGCTCTCCATGTCATTGAGGATCTTTTTCTGTTAAACAAAATGGGTAGAAGAGCTAGGTCAGCTTTCACATGTTATCTATCCATCCATTCATCCATCTATCCATCCATCCATCCTTGTTCTCTGCAGGGTCGGGTTCACAGCCTATTATTATTATAATAAGCAGTAGTGGTAATAGTAGTAACAATAATAGCTAGAAATAACTCATAATTAAGTTTCAAGTTTGATTGTCGTGTGTTTGGAGGAACAGTGAAATTCTTGTGCTACGTTTGCAGGACTGGCGACATGGGGGGACATAGGATAAACAGCAGGGAAATACAGGACAGACAGCAGTGTAATACAGGACAGACAGCAGTGCAATACAGGACAGACAGCAGTGTGATACAGGACAGACAGCAGTGTGATACAGGACAGACAGCAGTGT